ACATCACCCATTTACACATTAACCAATGAAATTTGTGTGTTAGCATGATGTCATTGTAAGATCAAGGGTAAACTGTGTCGTCATACACATGTACAGAAGTGATGACGTAACACACATGTACCAAATCAGATGACGTAGTAAACATTCTATGAACCCGCCATGCTTGTTTGTCGAATCTTTTACAGTCATATTGACCTGTCAGATCACTCGTATAAGCTCCGCCCACCGGTGTCTGGGAATCCAGTCTAACTTGTGCACCTTCATACATCCATCAACTGCAAGCAGCTCTATAGGATACTCATGAAACGTAAAGAGATAGATACTCTCCACACCACTCAAGAACGAATGAAATGTGTTTACGAATCTGCGCTCGTTAGCCACATTATATGAGAAAGGGAGAGGTGATCTATTTCCTCAACTCAGCTACAGTAGTGGCAAAATGCAAGAGGCTGAAATGTGGAATGACACAGATGACCTCTCCTACCCTGCATGATGTCGGTGAGATTGAAGTTATCTGTTCTACAACATGACAGATTGAAAACGTGTCAAGACACATCCTCTCGCCTGGATATCAAAGCTCCAGAATGCATTACTGTATGGATCTGATCTCAACACTGAGGATGACCTCCACATAATATGCTGTATCTGTGGAAAGCCAGATGATGGAAAGCTGATGATTGCATGTGACACATGCAATGAATGGTTCCATGGCTCATGTGTTGGAATCACCTAAAAAAAGCCTGACAGTTAGAAGAATACATTTGTCCGAAACTGTACCAATAAAGTGTACAGAATGAACCATAAAAGACCTGAATGAGAAATAAATAAGGTATAATGGGACATCTATTCTTCCTGAAAATGATTGCATTCCAGAATGTGTAAGAATGGAGAAATTATTCTTACATTTCACAGAAATGGCTAGATATCAACCATGCAGTCGCCAGAGGGCACCCTGAGCATATCGGAGGAGTTGCTTCCCAACAAGGGACCACCCCGAGCATCCTTGGAGGGGTCGCTTGCCAACAAGACGGAGCTTGTCACCTGCCCCAGGGATGGAGAGGACTATGGTTTTGGCATAGACCAGGCAAAAGAGGCAACCGACAGACCAAGAACAACTCAGGACCAGAAAGACCCCCCAAAACATGGTTGGGGAGGACCAAGGTCCAATCATAGCCCAGGCAAAAGGACCAACCAACAGTCCAAATAGGAATGGAGAAGATGTTACTAAGCTTGACCCTGCACCAAACCAGAGGGAACGAAGAGCATGTACATCCAATCCTGGGAATGTACCATCTCCCAAAAGAATGAAGATATCGGATTCCGCTCCAGGTCAAAAGACCCCAACTACAGACAGGAAAGCAGAGCTAATTTGCTCCACAGTCCTCAGGATCATTCCTTCATCAATGGTGGAACAGCCTACTTGTACCTTATCCACTGAGAATTGACAAGAATATTGTTGTGTAGTAGATAGTTCTGTATATAGTGATCATGTTGTATTAATTACCTTTTAATTTACTTAAGTATGTTGTCAATAACGATATTTTGTATATTTCAGATATTGCAGTAAAACAATTATTTATTGTATTTCTCATTTCTGGCTGCATACTTAAGTAGTTGTAAGCCAAGTATCAGCCTTCAAGCCTTACTCTTTTGTTATGTTTTACTTAGTTGGTCAGTCAACTTCTTGGTGGTCAATCAGAGTGTCAATCTTGGTGGCCCAGGCGTCCTTTGGATTGGCTAGTTTTAAACCTCTGTGTCCCACTTTTAAAACCCATTGTTTTCACCCCTGCACTTTGCATTTACACTTCACTGTGAATGGACTGAGAGTGAGAGAAAGGATATACTTATATAAAGGTTAGTAGATAAAGTAATAATTGTATTTTATGCCAGTGTAGCAGGTGTATATATTTGTATTTCAGCTTTTTGTAAGTATTTTCTATTTCAGCTTTCCTTTCTGTTGAATTATATTCAACAGAGGTTTGTTGGCATTTAAGGATGGGAATATATTTTATTGTCCAACAAGTAGTGTTTATCCCTACATTCTATGTCCAGATCAATCATATCCCAAGCTATCATGTGATTGGCCTAATTCAAACTCTACCTTCTTGCACTGACTAACTCTATATTGCCACTTTCACTATGCACTGCATTGGGAGATTTGGGGATCGTCACTAAAGGTTAGTTTATAAGATATCTTTACTTCTAAATAGGTTAAATAGTAATCAAAGGTTAGGCGTTATAAATAAGCATCTAAGCAGTAATTATCATATTTACATTAAATGATATATTTGTATTAATGTTGTTGTTTTGAATGAATGTGTTTTAGAGGTTGAACTTTACCCTAAGCAAGTAAAGTTCAATAGTGTATTTTTATAGTATCTTGTATACCGGTACATGCAAAGTTTTATCTACTATTACGGAAGTGCACAAACTATGCAATTTGATATTTATTTCATTGTATTTAGTTTGCATAGTAATAAGTCTGTGCACTTGGTGATACTATGATCTTGTCGCTTTAAGTATTTACATATTATGTACATATTATACATAAGTATTTATTCCTGCTCTTTCTTGTGCAGGACATATATCATGAGTAGTGACGGTTGACGTTGTCACGTTTCACCCCCTTGTGCCACACATAGGGTATGTGTGCATTTCTTTCATATCATCTAATAATACTTGGTTGTAAGTAATGTAACAATGATCGAATTGCTTTGATGATGATATGAAATATATTATGTTTTAATATGCATATACTATATAATCTGTTGTTTATTAAAACAGGGTGTCTATCTTGCTCATTCACTAATAAATAGAAGCCTCACACCCCGTAGCCGTCTTTGGTGTCATCTGTGTATATGTTATGGATAATGCCACCATGTACGAGTCTCATCAGGCCATAACTGAATAACGGACATGAAGTAGTACATATGATATAATATTATATTTATTGTACCATCTTTATTATCACTACTTCATGTCCGTTATTCATTTATGGCATGATGACTGTACGTGGTACGAGTTGAAAGCGCTATCGAATTAAAACTGTTCAATCTTACTCCACTTATTTAATTATTACTATATTGTGCCTGAGAGTTAGAACTTTACTGTGCTTTTTGTTGTTCGTTATATATATTTTCGCTCGGAAACGTCCGTCATCTGGGCTATAGCAAAACTCAATACACACATACACGTTTATACACATTTCCTCCCGCATCTACCGGTGATTCAGTTAAAAGGTACCCAATGATACAACTTCAAAATATTTTGATCCAATTGTAGGATCAATGTTTGTTTTACAGACAAGATTGGTCCAAATTACATTGACATGTAAGATTAACATAATGCAAGTTTAACAAGTTCAAATTGTCAGTGACATTTGACACTGAGTGAGATTTCTCAGTTCGCTATACGCGTCACTAATTTCGTGGTAGATGGGCCTTGTCGGTGATCAGATATCAGTTCGCTGTAGAGAGTTCGTTATGTCATAAATTATATATGATAATATATAGGAGATAAATCGTTTTTTTTTAACAGTTCGTTGTATCCGTTCGTTCGTTCTATCCGTGTTCGTTATATCTGCGTTCTACTGTATTTCATTTCTCCATATGTGTGTCTGTGTTAATCTAGGACACTTGTGTATTCAGTAACTTGTATTGTGTATCAATAAATTGATAATAGTTTAGATATAATGTTCATATGTGTAAATAAACATGTCTTCATGATGTATTTTATATCATGAACACTGAACAGGTTATCACAAGGAATTTACTCATTGTGACCATCCAAATACACCCCGGGTATATATATATATTGTTTGCATTGTTATAATATTATATTTATTGTACCATATTTATATCAAATGTATAAAACCATTAAACTGGCATATCTAAGCTTATTAATGTGAAATGTTGTACCATGAATAGCTTATAAGTGTTGTAGACTATTATTTAATCAGCTTCAGATTTAATGTGCTGGATAATTGTGTGTTTATTATTGTGTTCATTGTTCCAGGGTGTCACCAGGAAAATAAATAAACAGACTTCACACCCAAGCCTGTGTCATTATGTTTTGCTACATATGTACACATTTCTGGGTTTAACAGTTGTAAGGCAGACAAAGAAACGCCAACCGTCTCCTCCATCACATGGTTCTTAAATCATACATTTGGATTTCCATGTGCAATCAGTAGTGACAGTCTCTGCCCCTACCATGTAACATCCATTTCGTCGTCCTGTTCCCCTGGTTTAGGTTCATGTACCATCTGATCCAAAGAATCAACAATCCAAGTGTACCCTGTAAAATGCATCTGCAATAAAAAAAATGCAGAGGACCAACATATCCCATCAGTACCTGTGTTGTTGTTACCATAGCATCGTGAGACAGTATGTCCACAGGTGCCACCTCCCTAGTTGTTTCTGGAAACACTAACGTCGTCACCACAAGCAGCCCTTTCACTGTATCAGTCAAGTTAATGGTTTTAATCAGCTTGAAGGTGAGCATCCTGTTTATTTGTGTCAAATTCTTAGAAAGTTTATTTTTGACATCACTATTAAATAACTTTTAGAATAAGTTTTAATGTAAAAGTTTTGAGTTTAAAGCTAATGACAGGCAGACAGACAGACTTCAAAAGACAAAGACTCAAAATATTCTGTTTGAATGAGGTTTAAAGGCATGTTCAAGATTATTGTACTTTTTTAACAAAGTGCCAACTGAGAGCATGTTTAATATGGATACCCAACTGACACACATATACTGACTCCAAGCTGACCAGGCTGTGTTGTATCCCCTTAATGGTAAGCATCAAGCATGGTAACAAGTATCATCTCAAGGGCCCAGGTGATAGAACCACCGACCTTCCACTCTCCAAGCACACTCTTGCCACTTGACCACAGAAGCAGTCCTGGGTAAAAGTACATTTACATTGTGCTGCATCACGGCACATGATAAATATCCATTGGAACAATCTTACAAACATGACCCACAGAGGTCATACCTACCATCATTTAGCTGAAATCCAATTGCCGGCAATATGTGATTCAATGTCAGTCGGTTCTTTTTCAAGCCGTAGCTTTTCAGCCACTTCTTTGAGGATGTGAGTGGTTTAACATCCAGCTCCCATGTAGCCATGTGATGCGTCGTATTAACTACTGCACTGACATCACTCTCTGTCGACTCTTCCACAGACCTCATCTTCACAAAGTTCCTGGATGGAATATCAAAGCGGGCCCCTGAAACACAGATAATCAAACAGTGTTTAACTTCACAGGCCAAATTTTACTATGTTACTTACTAACCTGTGTCTGCTGATATCTATTTGATTTTAGGTTAGCATACCTTAATGGGCAACCTTTTTCAATCTATTGTCCCTTTACTAATCAATTAGATGCACTGATCAATCCGGTCCAGTCTTAAACTGAAAAGTGAATGTGGTATGCGCCCTATGAGCGGTACATGTAACTCAAAAGATAACATTCACCCTGGCCTATGGGCAGTAGGGCTGGCCTGGGTAACTCGGGTACTCAGGTTGGATGGATCCTGACTAGGATCCACAGTAGGGTACCCACAGGTCTATATGGTCATGTGGTTAGTCATGTCATATATTGTTTAATGATGATAAAGGTCAAACTCCATGGTTACACAAGTGAAAGTCACTAAATGTTTGCATTACTTTTTGACTGCAAGCAATCCTTCTGACTTTAATATGTTTGAGTAAATATAAATCTTTAATAAACTTCAATGTGTGCAAGATCAGATCATTTTATGTGAATCTAAAGCCCTGTTTATATGCACACTCTTTGCCCTCAGGGGTAAAATACCCCCCAGGGTAAATATACCCACGAGGGCAAAGGGTAAAATGTGGTTGTGTTTATATGCACTTGAATACTTGGGGGTAGATCATTGTCATATCATATAGACTCCGTGATAATATCAATCAGTTTAACTCATTTGAGTCAAGACAATGGAGAGGTTTGGATTGTAGTGCTCGGAAAAGGAGAAGGCAACGTTTTCTACAGGCATTTGCTCTTGCAATAAGCTCGTCTTTTCTACGAGAAAGATTAACCTGGATGAAAGAAAGAAGTTTGTGGTACGATATTGTTTTAAAAACATTTGATGAAGATCAATGGCTTGAAAATTTCAGGACGTCTCAAGCCGTGTTCCAAGTGATCTGCCTACAATTGGAGCCAGATTTGCGCCGTTCATCAAACGTTAAGCCTTGAAGCCTTGACCACTGAAAATCGTGTTGCAGTAGCTGTGTACTTCTTGGCCACAACAGTGGAGTACCGAACTATCGGTAACCTGTTTGGAATAGCCAGGTCAACAGTGTGTATCTGCGTCCATGACGTCTGCAAAGCCATATATCACAGGATGTCCAATGAACTGGTCAGATTTCCACGTGCGGGAGGTTGTTGATGGGTATAGAAACAAATGGAACTTTTCGAATTGCGCAGGAGCAATTGATGCTACACATGTTCCCATTATTGCTCCGAACTATTGCCATGCTGTTTTTGTGAACAGAAAAGGGTGGTACACCATCATTATGCAATCTGTGTGTGATGATAAATACGTATTCACAGATGTCTACATTGGTTGGCCTGGCAGAGTGCATGATGCAAGAGTGTTTGCCAGCTCTACTTTGAAGACTATGGCCGACAATGGAAGCCTCCTGCCAGCGTCACCTGAGTGGGCTGGACACTGCTCTTGTGGACATGCCGTTAGTTCCCATTGGTGACCCAGCTTACCCATTGTCCTCCTGGCTCCTGAAACCATTCACCAATAGAGGACAGCTCACAGCAGAACAGTAGTACTTCAACTACCGCCTAAGTAGTGCCCGTATGACGATTGAGAACACATTCGGACGGTTCAAAGGTAGATGGAGGCGTTTCCTCAAGAGGGTTGACGTTGATATCAATTTCGTATCAACTCTTGTGGCTGCAGCTGTTGCACTACACAACCTGTGTGAAAACAAGGATCAGCCCTACCTTCCAGGCTGGCACACTGCAGTCCAAGATACATCCCAACCAGGAACCACAGACAATGTAGGGATCATACATGCAACTGGCACCGACATCAGAGATGCATTGACCCTTCAGTTTTGCAAACAGTGAATCTGGTGGGGCAAATGTCGGAATGCGTTTATATGCATATAATAACCCCCTAGGGTAAATGTACCTGTGGGGTAAACACATTTGCCCTACCTCCAGAGGTAGGGCAAATTTACCACTCGGGGTATTAAAGCCCCCAGGGGTAAATGCGTTTATACGCCCAAATATACCCCAAGGGGCAGATATACCCACGAGGGTAAAAATACCCCAGGGGTAAATGGATGCATATAAACAGGGCTTAAGTAGCTTTTGACAGGGCTCCAAAAAATTTTCAATCTGACAACTTGAGACCTACAGTGGGTACCCGGTGTAAGCTGCCAAAATCTAGCCCCCTTCAGAGCATACCCGGGTAGATTTTGGGAGCTCCCAGAATCTACCCCGGGGTAGATTTTGGGGACTTTCCAGAATCTACCATCCTTTCCCAGAATCTACCCCCAGGGGGTATAATCTGGAAGTTCCCAGAATCTACCCTGGTGTAGATAATATAAATTGTTATCAAATCCAAAAATCCTGATATTACAGAGATATTCCTGTTATTATTTGCAGACGATATTATTTTAATCGCAGATTCTATAGGTGGACTTCAGAAGCAAATTGATGTTCTAGAAAAATATAGTAATGATTATGATCTAGATGTCAATTTGGATAAAACCAAGGTGGTTATTTTTAAGGGTGGAGTGGTGTCAAGAAAAGAGATTTGGTACCATAAAGGTCTAAAGTTGGAGTGTGTGTCTTCCTATAAATATTTGGGCGTACTTTTACGAGAAGCCTGTCCTGGTCAAGTCATTTCTCTAATGCTGGTTTACAGGGAGAAAAAGCAATGTTTGGAATTTTAAAGTCATTGATAAAATTACATCCTCTTAGACATGACTTATATTTTAAAATATTTGATATGAAAATAGTCCCAATTTTGCTCTATGGTTCCGAAGTCTGGGGTCTACACCAGAATGATGAAATGGAAACTATACATACATTGGCATGCAAGCGCTTTCTAGGTGTCAAATCGTCAACACCCAACAACATGGTTCGAGGTGAATGTGGGCAGTATCCATTATATCTTTATGCATACAAAAGAGGTATTGGTTATTGGATAAAGTTATTGAGTATGTCCGATTGTCGCTTTCCAAAGAAATGTTATTATATGATACTTCAGGCAGAAAGTAATGGTAAAATTCACTGGGTCTCAAAATGTAAATCTTTATTGTTCGGTTTGGGTTTTGGCTCTGTATGGGAAAACCAGTGTAAAAGTCACCCTCATTTGTTTTTGACAGAATTTATGTCGCGTCTGAAATGTAGTTATGAACAGGATTGGCATAGTTTTCTGGAAAAGGGTAGTAAATCTTTCTCTTATTCTCTATTCAAGGTATTGTTTGGTACAGAGTTGTATCTTAGCTGTGTGACCGTCAGTAAATTGAGAGTGGCACTAGCTCGGTTTAAATGTTTTTCGCATCAGCTGTGTATTGAAACTGGGAGATACGCTGATATCCCACGTAACAGACAACTATGTTGTGTTTGTAATGCTGGGTATGTGGAGGACGTGTATCATTTCTTGTTAGTTTGCTCCGGTTATGACAAGCTACGCGTGGATCACTTACCACAAATTTTTGTGACTATCCGACTAAACAAAAATTTCATATCATTATGTCTACAACTGATTGTAAATTAATTGAACGTCTAGCTATCTATATCTATCAAGTGATGTCATTTCGGAGTACATTATTGTCACAACAATAACAGCTGTGTACATCACATCCATTGTAATACAAATGTAACTATGGGCCGATGGCCTTCACTTACAAAATAAACCGAATTGAACAACAAATCCAAAAATTCAAAATGTTGTTTTATACATGCAAAGAAGAAATAAATATTGTTTAAACTAATAAAAAGTAACTTACAAATCACATTGACTTTAACTCTTGTAGTCATCATCAATTTGTAAGTTCGAAAGTTGGTGTTGAGAATTGTGTGAGGAAATGTCTTACACTTATGCTATTGAATAAGCTTTAATATGCTTTGTGAATAGACTTAAAGGGGCACTGATCTACAGCAATTTCCCAGGACTGGTTGTTGCCTTTGTTATTATTTGTTCCCAGTGAGTACCCGAATGGTATAGCAAAAACCTAGACTAGTTCGCGACCTGTGCTGCGCAATTTGTAAGCGCATTTGTTACTTTTATTGATAGTATAAGAGCGTATGGTAAACATGATCAACAAAATAAAATACAGTTTTGGAAATAATAAGGAAATGTAGGTATCTTTGTGGGTAGCATCGGTAATGGTGACGAAATTTTGATAAGTCGCTTGCTTGGTAATTGTGCGATTTTCGTTTACACTATTTTGACTTGCAACACAAAGTAAATATTTCTCCTGAGCATTGCTTATTTTATCGTGTTTATATTTTTACAGTCAAAAACTGCAAAATTTTCACTTAGAAAATTTATTAAACGCCTGAATATTCAGTTATTTTACAAATTGACAGAAAAATATTATTCCAAACATTTTTATGTTTAATATCATCACCAAGAGACTGAAAAGTACATTTCTATATTATTTGGCTTCTAGTCCTCCATAATAATCTATTGTGATGTTTTTAGGCCCTTTTGATCGTCTTAATCAATTTTAGTCAATTAGTCAAAGAAATGGACAGGTTTTTCAGTCAAAATGACTGAAATATTTACACATTTTATAAATTGACTGAGAGAATTACCTTTTACAAATTGACTGTAATATATACACACTTACAAAGGAAAAGACTTGTGAAAACAACGTTTATCGCGCATCGAAGAATTTCCCAACAAAGACGTAGAGGAACAAGGATGAATCTGTCCAGTGCTACACGTCTGCAGCTGTACAAAGAAACTTATTCGATGTCATGTGTCTCTGTAACAATCAAATATTTTAAAATATATATATATTGTTCCGGGATATTATAACCCGTGTTCGTTTCTCAACTGATCACTTAGATTTTTCAGGTGTTTTCTTAGGTGTTAAGTCTCAAAGGTCAGCTGAGAAAGCCTACGTGACAACTATTTTCATAATGTCCACGATTCCTAAAACAATACACTGAATTAGATAACAACGAACAATCAATAAACGTATAATCGGCTAACCCTTTGAACAAAG